GTAGATATAGTATAACTATTATCTATACTTTTACGGCGTCAAATCATCTAATTATATATAAAAATTGCCCTTACATAGGTAGGTACTTATAGATATATCCCAAACATGAACTTAATATTACGTGGAGATTAGTAGTAATCATCTCAACATGAACTCGCCACGGAGATTAGTCGCCATCTTAACAGGCCCTCCATGCTAAGAATAGTACTTAAAATCATAAACTATGTGATATTTTTATTTTTCATCATCCATATTTAAAAAAACACTACTCAGTATTTTTTAACGAGCGGTTTATCTACTATAGTATAAAAACCGCTCGTTTCACCGTTTACTTCTATATAATAACAATTAACCAGGCAACGATCACTATTTAGTTAAATTCTTCCAGAAAGTTAATTTGTATAACTGAACTATTATCTTCTAAGCTATTGAAATTAAAAATTAATCACTATTTTAATAAAACATTAGATGTATTAAGATAGTGATTTGGATTATTTATCCACACACTGCATATAATTACGGCTTTTGAAAAATATTTTATTATTGACTTATAAATAGGTTATAATTGTCATATTACAATAATTATCGTCATATCGTTGTTTATTGTAATCGTACATTTAAAAAATGACACCATAAAATAAGACAACAGATCACAATATTAAGATTCATAGCAAGGAAGGCCTCTCAATCAACGAACATGATTTCCCTTATCAATGGAAGAACTGCTGATTTCGTTTTACGGTTCTAGAACAACTAGAACACTTCCATACCAACTAAACATATACCTAAAAGTGAAGTTATAAGAATTGGAACAGTTTATAATTAATACACGTGCTATGGCACTTATAGGATTTACGTTAACATATTAATTGATAATTTCTCGAGCTATAATATACTTTCTATATCTCTCTGATAATAATAAAGATTCAAATAGGTACATATCATAACGATAGGCTCACTAACATTTCAAATAGTAATTTAAAACATTTAAACTTATAAGTCTTTATAATAGAAAATATAATATTAACATTTAGATATAATTATAATAAGTTTCGGTGTAGACATTTTTATAAACAGAATAATAAATTGTGAACAACATTCTTGTCGCCGTATTGTTACAATATTACTGACAACTGAACAAAACAGCACGTAACACTGCAGACTAATATTTTTGATATCCATAGACAATATTATATAACCATATATGCGAAGACAATTATAGGGAATAACTCTTTGGTTGGTGTCTTGCGGGCTTTCTCAATAAATATATATTCTCATGCTTCTATTACGGCAACAACAATGTGCTATGTCTATACTTTTATTTATATGATCAGAATTGTATAGGTCTAAATGGAAGGCACGATTCAGACTTGTACAGCACCCGTTAACTCTAAAATATATAGATTAAATTTAATACGCCATATTTATTGCGTAACTGGCCATGTTTCAAAATTGTAAGTATATTTATTGTCTAATATTTGCACAACCATACTTTTTAAACAACTTTATAATAATGAGCTTTTATGTGTAACAAACATTAGATATTAAATGCATAACAGTATCATTGGAATATACATAATATAGTACGTAGTATATAAAAGTGTACATGAAAATTTAACTCCAAAAATAGAATATTTATTAGCCAAAGTCCGATCTCGTAGATACGTGGGTAAGTTTTAGTTATAATATAGGAAGATATTTATATTAGACGATTTCTAAGGCACTAATTCAAATGTCCTCGTATGTTTTACTTGGAATTAATAATACTTGCGCTTTATTAGTCACAGAGTATAACTCAAACTTGCGTAGGATCTGGTGATGAATGAGAGGGCGTTGACCCTCGCGGTGACCCCGAGCCCATCGTCTCCATCTTGATGCCCGGCGGCAGTTGCCCCTCAATGCCTGGTATCATAAAGTATGCGTTGGTTGGATAAACGCAGTCTTTGGGTACATAACAATCATGCGTGGTCTTCATGTGGTTTTTCATTTTGTCCGGCCTAGAAAACTCTTTACAGCACACAGGGCAGGGGAATACTTTTCTCTGTTGGCCCTCGTGGTATAAAAACGCATGCCTCTGGAATGAATACTTGTTTTTGAAGGTTTTCTGTATGTTTTCCTTCGCACATTCTATGCACTGGTACACACCTTCGTTGACCGAGGCGTATCTAAATAGATTGAGCCCTCTGACTGACATTTCTGTTAATTGCTCCGCGGGGTCGTTGGAGGCGGAGTTCGCTCTTCGTCGTACCCTTCTCCTTGCGACTGGCCTTTGGGAGCCACCTTGAAGCGTGTTGTTGTTTATCGAATCATTTTGATATTCATTTGACGTGGACGCCTGAATTGCCGGGTTTACGCGAATTTTACCTGTTCCATCGTTGGATGGTGATTGTGAATACTTATCTTTATTTTCAGAATCTGGCGTACCACGTTCTGAAAAATAAAACAAGTGAAATTATAATTTAGAGAAACATCTCAATATTATGTCTAATGGATCACATACACATCTAGCGTAATAAATAAATGTAACGGGCATCTAAATTAAAATGTCGGTAACAAAAAAAAAACAAGCAAAGAAAATATATTAACCTTTATTTGTTCAAATTGAATGACGAAAGTGATTACACCATGATTAAAAGAAAACCACGAATGATGGAATTACTTCACGGACAAGTTTGTCGACACAGCTCGCGACATGTCGTTAGAAATTTGGTAATTTTGTACCATTACTAGAGTTAAATAGGTAATGATCATTAGCACCATACAATTTAAGATATTTATATATACTTATTTATTATAAATGTGCATTAAATCTCGTCCATGTAATAAATCCTAAAATAAAACATTTAAAACTAGAAACAAATGAAAAATAGAAACATAACTTTTGGAATCTAATGAACTGAGAATATCAGTCGTTCATTGTTACAATTCAATAGACATCACAAAACCTTCTGGTGTCAAAATAAAATATATTGTAACACCACTAAATTGTGTTTGAGGATCAAATAAATTAACAACTTTGAGCTGCACCTTGTTAAACGGCTTAAATAAACTATTTAAAGTAATCATAATTTATTAATTTAATAATAAATTAAAAACAATATAACAAAAAAGAACAGATTTCACTACGATATAATAGGACTCAGAGTGTTTGCATTTGGAACTATTTCGGCAAGTTATGTATAGGTACACAATTATAAAAATAACACTTCAGTTAACTTAGTTCTTAAGATCACAAAAGGTGGGTATTAAAATAGAAAGAAAACAGTTAAAAATTACATATATATAACTGAGACGTAAACACAATCAGACTGTTATATAGCTGCCATAGTGTACATGATACGTCGTACTCTAAAAGAAATCAATAACAAAAGAATAGCCTCATAAAATGTGAACATAATCATAATATTGCGTTAATATGTCTATTGTATTAAAATAAAAAATAAAAATTTAAAAAGCAACAATTTGTACTGGATAAAACATAGTTTGTTGTTTGCGTATCGTCAATTTGAGCAACATAGAAAGCATAATCAAACGTAATCTAGCGCTAACCACACCATCTACATGTGATAGTATCATAGGAGAACATACCTGCTCAGTCCCCTCTTCGTGACTAACAAAGATTCTACAGTTTAGAAAATTCACTCCATTGTTATAACAACACTATTTATATCTAACATAATAATATTATAAATAACTTAACTTTTAAACTATTCTTTACTAATAACCCGTGTTGTTACTTTGCTACAATTATAAATTAAATTTTATTTAAGTAATATTGTTTAATTATATGAAAACATTACCGTCAGTTGTCGTTGCTACAAATATCACTAGTGACAGGTTATTTCTATTACAGTTGCCACATTTACACCACCTCGTAACTTTACGTTGAAAGTTGTAGTTAACTGCTGGCAAGATAATTCGTTTTCAATATTAATATAATTTCTCTATATTTAAGTATCAAGATAATAAAGACAGTGTTTAAGACTATTCAACGATAAGTACTCAATAAACAGACACATTGTGAGACAATAGGTTAAGGAACACGTGAAAATATAAACTTCTATCTTAATAAATATTCAAAACAAAAAGAGGGTTCAAAATAATATAATAACAAAACAAAATAGTAACATTAATGATAGATAAGATTTGCTATTTTGCTGTAACTTTTATTATTTTCTTTAAAGATTCTAAAAATAGTAATTAACACCTTATTGTATACCAATGTATTTCTGTCATTAACAAATAATGCTATATCGTGTAACTTTCAATACTAAATGTTTCTAAACATTACTCTTTGCATTTGCTATTGTCTAAGTGCAAATAACGAAAAAATATCGATTCACTTAACATTTTGGCTAGAGATTGTTTTTTTTTCATGTAGGTAATTTATCGTGTGAAGTTTATACTTAGCACTTAATTAGAATCTATAAAACTGCGTTCATACAAATATTTATAAGAGATGATAAATTGCGGAGCACAATGTCTCGGTGACATGGAAATATAAAAGGCATTATACAGGTACTACATTATTTAATACTTTCGTACCATCCTGAATGTGTACAAATAAAATCACTATAATTTCAGCAATATATGGTAAGTAAATGTACTTATCAACATATTATCATATAATATTATGGATGAGTACACGGATTTATGAATAATTATTCAATCCATTAATTAATAGTACTCTCGACAACTTTCTACAGAGGCGACACATTCAAGTGGTCCGAAATTATTGTACATATTATTTTTATTTCATGTTATTACAAACAAATTAAGATTTAAGAATTCATAAGTACCTGTAACATCCTAGTATTGTAAAGCAATACGTATTAAACAATTCTAGAATTCCGCAAATCTATACGTTTTACAACAATTGTAAAAAAACTGTTTAATTTATGGATTTATTGCTAAATATGTAAACATTTCTATTGATGTATCTTAACAGTAATTAAATTTCAAAATTCTCATTTAATAACAGCATATATAGGTATATATATATATATATATTTATTCGTATATCCGTATCTTCCTCATATCAAAATTTATACTTCATTTACGATCGTTACAATGATGCTATAGAGACATTCATTCATTGATAGATATATAAATTGTAACAAAACACTATTAACAAATAATATAACAAGTTTGTTCAGAGACAATCCACTTAATGCCACATCAAATGTGACATTTCTTAAGTATAATTTAGCACCAATTGATGATATAACATTTTAATAAATAATATTTGGATTGATATAATAAAATATAATTTTGAATGACTTTCAGTTGTTTATATTTTGTTTAGGAAAAACTTTATTGAAGCAAGAAAATAGTTAAGTAGAAGACTATTGAAGAAACTTAGGTAATATAAGAATATTATTCGTACGCATTAGCTTAGGCACTGGCTAAATTGACTATTATATTATACAATTAAGAGATTTTAATCTTTCAATAATAGCCTCACCTTAATTAAGTCTAATTTTTCCATTTAAGTACCTATCAATTTCAAAGGTAAATTTCATATAAATATTATGAAAGGTAGGTACAATAAATTCGTTTATTTTATGAATTTTAACAGTCTTAATATGAATTATCAAGACTTAATCGCCTCGAACGCATGTCACGTCATATAAATTTCATAGCTGCGTCATTTATTTTATCATTTATCAAATGTAATGGGAAACCATGAGATGATATTCTTATTATAAATTACAAATTTTATTTAACTACTTCGGCCTAAAAGGTATCTAAACTCCTAAGGAAGCATCTTAAAGTAGATGTAAACTCCGAATAATGAAAATAAACAATACATAACAATCTTTGAAGTTCTTAATTTGCTAGTAGTCGATATATATTTAACTTATTAATACAAGTAAAGGCACACTAATAGGCAAGCGTTCCCTGGACCTACATTTCAATGTATTGGAGAGTTTTGATTGAAGGATTACAACGTAATGTACTCTACAAATTATTTTATAGTTTGCAACAGTTTAGATACTTACATTAGGTGAACATTCGTAAATTGTCACAGAAATTGAAAGAAAACGTGACGCTATCAATAATAAATGGAAGACTACTTTTGCCTCTAAATTTAACTAAATAATTTATAAGTATCGTCCCTTATTTAATAATTAAGGCATTTTGATTTCTACTAAAATAGAATTTACAAATCATCTCATGATTCCAGTTATCAATATAACATCTTTCAAAGCACCTTGCTAAGATCACTCTGACAACAACGCTTTGTTGCCTCATTTGAATTATTTACAAAACTGTCAACATTAATAACATTTCTTACATGTTCACAATATATACATGATCTTCTAAAATATGTAAATAAATAAGGTAGGTGAAGATAAAGAAAATATGGTTGTGTTATAATAAAATTAATGATAAGTGTACCTATACCTGACGCTTCTTAGCATCATCAGATTCACCCGAATTATGAATAATTAACATAAAGTTATACTCGTACGTTATATTTGGAGTACAATAATTTCTTGAAAACCTTAGGTTCTGCTCTCTTGGAAAATACTTGCAAGTGGTGATTTTAAATCACGACCGTGTGCTATTCGCTCTATTGGCATGATGCAGCTTTATGTAAATATATGTATCTTAATTTAAAGCTCATTATAATTGGAACATACTTAGCACCCACTGAACCAACTATAGCACTAATTTAAGTTAACGGAGACTTGATTTATGCCTTAAATTTCAATTTAATGTTATTATAACACCTCCAAAATTATCTTATCTAGTCATACGACCGTAGTAATAATATAAATCCACGAATATGTATATTAAACTTTTCTTCTATATATTTTATTATGGTCTACAATGTATAAATTGTTATATTGTCTTTGACAGATTGTCATAACAGTTATTTTTCTACATAAATATTTTTTTTATTATATGCTAAAGAAATATGCATCTATTTATATTATAAGATAGGAATTGAAAACTTTTATTTACTAAAATATCTACCTGACAACTGTCACAACGTGTTGGGGCTTTCATCAATGATCAGGAACTGATAATTATTACTACGCTTTTCGCTGTTAATGAGATTTTAACAATTCTATTTATATAATTTCTCTATATTATGATGTAGGTAGTTTAAAACACGTATTTGAATAGCATAACATTTACAAACAAATATTCCAACATTGATAAAATATTTTAAATTAACCTTAACAAGTTCTAGAAAATAAAATCATAGCCTGTGTTGAGTTTTACTTCGAAGAAGTCAAATCATCATTTACAACTAAGATCACTAATAAGGCAAGTTAATGAAAATGCATTTTACTCCACTACACAATGGCGTACCGAAATCTTGTCTTTTTGCAAAGAGTTTAGCCTCATTTGAAAATCTAATAAGTCGTCTGCAGTTAGTACAACTACTTTACTACTCGTTTTACAAAAAGACCACGCCATTGTCATACTCATAAAATATATCTACTAAACTTATTACTAACTAATTCAGTTCAATGAGAATTGTATGCAATAATCAGCACATAAAGTAATCGAATAAGACTACTTTGATTTAACGATCACCATGAGTAGTTACTTTGTACCCTGAAAATTTTGTAAGTAATAAAATTAAGTAACAAGTAAGTGCAAAATAACAAGTAAATTATAGAAAAATTTATAAATCTCTTTGTAATCAGCACTCTTGAGAAAATAATGGAACAACATAAATAAATAAATAAATATAACAACAAACGATATCATTTAAAATATCAACGAACTTATTGATATACTCGTGAAACCAAGAGCTCGAATGCCTATTCAATCGCAACCAAAGGTTACCAATAACTATGTAGTCGGCTTTTCATTTAGGATGGACATACTTATTACACCCTACCTTTAACTATAATCAGATCTTTATTACTTCGCTCATAAATCGAGTACTATATAAATTAAGACTCCTGTTTGGCCATTTGCTCGTTAGCATTAGGTTGATTTTTGTGAATAATTTTTAGATGCGCAATCATATTATCTTTCCGAGTGAATTCTTTGAAACAAATTGGACACGGAAAAACTTTAACGTCCTTCTTATGAGAAGTGACGTAGTGTCGACAGAAATTGCTGATATGGGTATACACTCGTGCGCAAATTTTACATCTGAACACATTTTCCCCCTCTTTAATGCAAAAATCCCTTACAGATTCGTTCGTTTCCTCGTGATAATTGGCTACGTTACCAATGTTATTTTTTCTAATAGGCGATGTAAATATGCGATGTTCCCAATTAGTTTGCGCTAAATCAGAAACGTCGTTGTTAGCCAAATTAAGATTATTTTGTTCTAGTTCAGCAGCGAACAACTGCGTGGCAAGAGCGGGCATGAGTACAGCTTCAGGCGGATACTTGTCAAAAGTGTTGAGTGCGGGATTCAAGTTAGATAGACCAGAGAGCTGATTGAATAAGTTTCGTGCTCTAATTTTAGACATTTGGGGTAGTAGTTTTTTATTATTCTTTGGCTTTAAGTTACGACCTAGTCTGCTTTTATCGTCTGCATCTTTTATAGAACCGTCTCGCGAATTAGAGTTTTCGCGACTTCTATCCGGATTATATTTGTACTCGACAGGCTCGTTGTAGCCATCGGTAGCATCAGCAGCAGGCTCTTGTTTAATTGATCCATTTTCTATAGATAAAACGGGCCCGTTTGTTGGATAGTTTTGATGTGATTCCTCTTTAGGCACTTTATCGGGATCTGAAATGTACAATTTCAGGTCTCAATTTTGCGTATTTAATATTTGTTTAATTATATTTGAATAAAAATACTGTTTATGGAAATATTTTAGCGATGTAGTTTTGAGTAAAGTGATAATACTTATTTAGAAATCAGTATAGATATGTTTAGTCACTATAATATTTCCAATTGCTTTATATGTAGGAAAGCTATTGGGAATAAGCCTTGTTTGTGTTCCCTTTTCTCATTTATATAAAGTATATTGTAAGGAAGTTTAAATAGAAAGAAATTATTACTGAAACCATTGAGTACCACACCGAACTTGCCCCTGGCCATTCCTCTAATAGCTCTCCCCAAAAGCACAAAAGCAAGCAATAGTTATATTGTTGTTTTATAGAAGAAATAAGCATCTGTTACTTGATATATCAAAAATAATTTGATAGATTATCACTTACCCCTTTAGAATCTTTAAATATTATACATAAAGTAGATATTCAAAATACACTTCACTTTTTCACTTAAATGATAAGATATCCTAACATCAAAGCTTATATCCCATTAGCTTTTCCCTTATTTTCTTTTTATTTTTACTGTTATTGAACAGTGTTAGACCGACGGAAAGGAAGATTAATATATTTACAAAAGACAAGCAAATGTGAAAATTGTCTTCAAAATCCTTAGCCGCATTTGAGATATTGTACACAATTCACCTAAATATTGATATGCTACAACGTGTATTATCTACGATAAAACTAACGTTTTACATTATTATACATAATTAAAATGAGATTTTCGCTCAGATTGTAACTAACAATAATTGCGATAATCACGTACCTGCAGATTCGGAGTCTTTTCCAGTAGGAGCTTCTGTCTGAGCATCATCACCTTCGTCTATTAATAGAGCTTCGCCAGCATCCTCGCCACCGGATGTTGCACCATCTTCAGCGCTAAAGCCGTCCATCGACATTTTAACTTCCAGCATTTCAGGAGAGCCACGAATCAATTGATCACCCGCCCTATTCGATGGAGCGTGGGATGCCGTCTCCGGAATGAATTCACCGGGGGGACTGGCCGCCGTGTTTAATGCGTCACTAGAACTTCCGCTTAATTTTCTCGGCCGACCTCGTTTTCTTTTCGGTTGCATTAATGCATTGCCCAATAGAGGCATTAGTAGATTTGGAGGTGCTCCACCGCTGGGCATACCAGCAGCAGGCCGCTTTTGATGCATGTACGGATGTATTCTGTGCAGCTGTGGAGGCGGCGTGTGTGTCGCACCAGACTGCTGTTGAATTAAGGAGTTCGTAAGAGCTGGGATGTCACACTTCTCCTCGTTCACCTCAGTCAGTCCCTTTATCCTTAAACTTTCGGCTACTTTTAAAAACGCTGTTAACCGCTCTTGATCTACGCTCACTTCTCCTCTGTACATAAAATCTAATAAACTTTTCATATCTGCGTAGGGCACATCCTTCAGTATAACAATAGGATGTTTTTCTTGGTGATTGACGAAAAGAGCTTGGAAATAAGGACTGCAAGCCGATAAAACCATTTTATGTGCTTTTAGCAGTTGGCCATCGACAGCCAAAGTGACATCCGTGAACGTTTCCGCATGTAGTAATTGGTCGAATACAGACAACATATTCGACTGGTGGTTGTTCCACCTCAAACAGAATCTTTGCGTCGCCATTTTTATTACGTATTATTTCCTCTTTGGAAGATATGAATTAACCAGTCCAGGTTTAAAAGCTAATATACCAACAATTTATCAGTGTATACATAAGTATTCTCTCTTGTTCCATGAACAATACAATAAAACGTCAACAATAGATAATGTTTACTTTTTAAAAGTCATTTTCAACTTGTTTCATACTGTTAGTGCATTTTGGGTGATGGGCGCAGGGTTCTGAAATAAACAAACAATATTGATATTATTATTATGAAAGTTACTAACTATACGCTGAAGTCCTAAAGTAAATACAGATTGATATGCACTAAAAAATATTTTATAATAATTTTCACTGATGAATTTATAATTTTCTGATGTGAGAGCCAACAAGTAACATACAATGTCATCTCTATTTGTCTAACTTTTTAAGAATAAATGCTGCTCCTAAATTTGGTTAAACAGCGATTATTAACAGAATTAAAATTAGTAAAAAAAATATTGTTCTTCGTAAATTTATGGTATAACCAACAGAAAGTTACTCTGCGATTGTTGATTTCTCCAGTCTCGTGTCAGTCTATAAATGATTAATTACACTATGTGATTACACAATTTACTCGATAAAAAATCTATTTAATTCTGTCACGCTATTATGTATCGTCTGAGGGCTTCACGCAATCTGAAAATATCAACCTGGCAAAATTATTCTTTAAGGTTACGATTATATGTCATGGGGTTCAAATGTTTTTATTCTTATACCTACCTACGTTAAAAGAAGTAGGTTAACATAAAAAAAAATTATTTAGGTTTCGATCTGCTGGAATCTGCTATTACATATAGAAATTGTAAGATGTGAATTGTTTATGTAGTTAACACATGTATATAGGTACGATTAGGTATGGAAGGAAATAATGGATAAGGATGATAAACTATTATTATGAAATACATAAAATACAGACAAAAAACGGTGATAGTTATATATATTATATATATATATATTATATATATATATATATATATAAATGCCTTAAAATATTTTCCAAAAAATAAACTTAATATGTGTAAAGATTTTGGAACAAAAATTTCTAAACTAAAGCCAAGTAGTTATTTAATTTGTCGACGTATAAACTTATTACGCCCTTTGTTAAATAATAAATCCTATACAATAAATATTTACCGCTGAATAAATAAGTAAACGTTTAACTTGCTCAGCTAAATTAGTAATATTGTGTAAATATGCCATAAAAGACACCTAATTAATGCAAATTATAGTTGGTGTATAAATAAATAAAAATAAAGGCTTCGGTACCTACAAATAATACAAAACGATGGTTTTTAAACATAAATGAAATACATATATGTTAGCAAAACGTAGAATAAGATTACGTAAAAGAAATAAAAGCATGTATTTGATTTAGAGATATATTTTGTTTTATTCTCAAATATATGTACCTATCACGAGTAATAAATTTCCATGTAGGCATTTTAAGATTTTGTTGTAACATTTTAAATACATTTCACCGTGTATTTATATTTTTATATTGTTTTCCAGATTAGACTTTCATCCCATATCTATATCTATATTATAGCTACATATTAGGATTAAAAAATAATGGATACTTATACTTTGTCAAGTATGGTAAATAGCTTAAAACAGCTATATATAATGTACCATAAAACTTAAAAGATTTATATGGCCCGGTATACAAGTAGGTAACCTATGAATAATAATTATGTTTTGATAGGTATGGGTAAGCTGATGTCGATATAAAATAAATTAGGCATAATTCATTTTAAAATATAATGAAATACTCCTTCGATCCACATAGGTAGATAGCAAAGATTTCTTCGTGTATGATGGATCACATCTCCCGAAATCTGAAGGTTGCGTAGTTGTGTAAACATCATTAAATTTTTATCTTTGTCGTGTAGTTAATTAAATACATAGTACCTTAACGTCACACAGAGAGGATCTAATAAAAATCCTTTTTGATCCTAATGTCCACATTACAGCTAATTCACTGAGGTACACTTTTTACAAAGTCGTCTGCGTGAATGCGCAGTTTCACATATTTCAGCTGCCATGACACTTGATAGGAAAATTACTGGGAATGGAGGAATAATGTCTTAAGTCTTGAAAGCATGAGGGATATTTACCCTTCTAATCCACTTCCCTTTTACACGTCTGTGTTGTAATAATAAACAACTACATTTATGTCAATTTACGAGTAAACCTGTTTTACGATAACTGTATACATTAACTAAGGATACTAAACTTCATATGTTAGGTACTCATTAGTTACCTACAGGAAACAAATTTTCAAGTTAGAATGTGCTAATTGGGTGAACGACTCAACTAATCAAAGCAGAAAAGATATTTTGACGCAACGGATGCATTCTAAAATAATTTCAACAAGATTTAGCACGCCATTCATGTCCAAAATTAAGGTCAAAACTTTAACTTTTAACTGGTCTATTTTAACTTCTCTGGCGAAGAGTGTATCTAAATATTATATAAGATATTTAACTTTCATACAAATTTGAATAAAGGTCTGCACTTTTTGAGTTAAGCTCTACAATTAGACTTAGTTATTTCCATCATTTCCGAAATTATAAATTTAATCAATCATTCATCAAATTAGGATTCAGCTTTGGAACAATTCAGCGTAGGTAGGCTAAAACTAAACAAATAAACGTTATTGGACCTCTGTAGTTTGGAAATTTATATAAGCCTGTATTTATCCTCAGTATCCATAGATTTTACAATTATTTCCAATTGTTCGGTCATATATAACCTCTTGATAGTCTTTGGAACTATTGGACAAATTTGAAATTCTTTCACTGCTAGAAATTTATCTGTGTAAAGCCTTAGTTGTCATATACAATAGTTACTGGACTGAGTTAATAGGTATGAGTAAAATAGAAGAGAACGAGTTATTTAGTACTTACCCCAAGATAAGTACTAAATGACTGATTCTCTTCTGAGGGGCCTAATAGTTAACTTACTATAGGCATTATGCATATATATTGATATACTTTATTTACATTATGCTTATGTATTTATATACCTATCCGCGTGCGCTGTAACAATGTTACTGCGCATGTCACGTGACAGAAATAATATTTCAGTTGTGTACCAACATTATTATATGCACAGTACAACCACGAGCAGAATTAAGCTTATGCAAGCACACATTGCACGTATTATCAATATTTGGTAATATATTGTATATGGTGCTCGCCTTTGTTTTTTTTTCTATCAACATTTCACTAAATATATATATTTATATATATCATGTATATTGATACATAATTTTATTCTCTATGTGTATATAAATCCTTCCTCTTGAATCAATTTATCTATTAATATATAATTAGCTGCATTAAAATCTGTTGCGTATTTTAGAAGATATAAGCGAACAGACAGCGGTGGCGATTTTGTTTTATACTATGTAAAGATGATATACCGGATATATTCACGAAATACATTCCACCATTACTAGAACTGGCTGAGTGTCATACCTGTGTACCCTGTAATTTATCTGTATTCAATGTCTAATCTCACATTTAAGATGCAAGCTGCCTAGCAGCATAAATGTGAATTTGTACAGTCTCCTTAGGTATTTATGTAATTTACGAAGGGACGCGACTACCTATAACGTTTATCCTAGACGCCATTTTCAATTGGTACGACCCTGGCGTTAAAGCAGGATGTGCAACATGCGAGTATTTGAGGTTAAGGATAACTGCGACTTCAAACCCCCCTCGCCCCCCCCCTTCGCCACCCCCACATTGCAATATGGCGGTAATAATGGTGTTTCTGTCAGTGGGTTGGCTCGATTAACTGAGGGAGGCCCATATCCTACCTGGCGTGGTTTATTAGGATTTTTGTGGTATAGCCGAGGCATAAGATATTGGTTTAGTTCATCTATCATGGCCTAATTATAATAGTTTTGGGAAGAGATGCAGGTCGTCCTTAAAAAACTAATTTAATTACTTTATTTTAATTTTTTTTAATTTAATTATTAAACTAATTCCTTGTTGGAACAGGCGCCCTAAGTCCTGCCATCCTCCAACATAATTAAGTCGTGATGAATTCTCCACGGTAATCTAAATAATATAATTTCAATCTCGGGCACAGGTGGAATAGAAATGGAAATGGAATGATTATTCTACTTATTATTACTGTCAGGGCAGAGTAGACAAAAATAATAAATATTCCATAAACATCCGCTTGAAAATACCTTAAAATAATTTTCTCCGTTACAAAAGCGTTATGAGTTTTCTAGTGACTATAATAATTAAAATGATAATAAAAAACAACAGAAGATACATAAAAAATACATATAATATACATAAAAAAACAAATTATGTATAATACACCCAATGTTATCAATAACATCAATAATATTATTTTAAGCTTTTAATAATTGAATTGTTCAATCACGATTGTCTTAAGAAAATTCACAATGTATAGATATTTAGAAATATAAATTTATAAATTTTAAATATGATTGTATGTACACATAAATGTTAGTAAATATTTGCACGTTATAGTTTACGAAAGAAACACGAAGTAAAGAGATACAATAAATTTATTATCGATATAAACTGCTTTACTAGTTTGTGAATGAATTCAGTCAGTATCCAATCCAATCAAGGTTAAAAAATCGAGGGCGCCTCTAGCGGCGGGAGGCAACTCCGTGCACCGACGGACGGCGCAGTCCACACGTAAAAAACAAGTACGTATCATAGCCAAGTTATAACTTATTTATTGCATACGAAGCGGCTTTATTTGGCTAACATTATTACATTAAAGTAACATAATACCTTCATCACTGAAAACGACTATCAAAATAAAAACTTAATAGATTCTTATTGGATTCCAATAGGAATAATTAGTTTCTTAATCTTAAACAGAAACACGATTATTGAGTGGCCATCCACAGGTGCTGACTGGTGACCACAGACGTTATCGCGGTACAAACGGGCGCTCGAATTATTACTACGCACCCAGTCGAGCGCGTTACATTACGTCATCACAATGGCATTATTACCGACGATATTCACATTAATTCGGCCGATACGTCAAGATAAGCACCGTTTCAGAATAATTATATCACTGCACTAACATAAGAGAACATACCGCACGTATCTGCACCACAATCAACTCGACCCTTTTATGGGAATGAGGATCAGCCCTTCCGCCATAGTCCGAGTCCGCGTTTACGTCGCACCCCGCTCACCCGACGACTGACGGCCGCAGCCCGCCCGCCAGCAACCCCGCGCCGCGCCACGAACGCCGACTCGCTCCGCGACCGCGACTCGAATATCTCTCACAAAAAATACGCCGTCATCATCGAAATGGCGGCAGCGGATATATTCAGCGCAGGGTGCACGGTAAAATATTGATTTATTGAAATTTATTGATTTCCTCTCTCAAAACGGAGATCGCCCCCGCTGTTCTCTTCAATTCTAACACCACGCCGTTTATGGGGTGGATATGTCGATCTGACTAGCTTGAACTATGTACAACTATTTAAATAACCTTAATTTAAAATGTAAAAGAAGAAAAATGCGCTTTTATATTTTACTAATAATCAATGACCATACATGATTATGCATAGGGTGGGAAAAAATAAAGTATGTTTACATGATTACCTATAAACTTGGTACTCTGTATGCCGTTCTAGAAAATCTAGGTGACTTAGGTAATATGAGCTAATTGTATAAACTATCTACCTATTTTCTATAATAACTCGCATGTAGTTATTCATTGGGGTGTTGATTAAACAGCGCTTAAATTATACAGTTTCATGTGAATGTTTTTACGTAGCAATTATAATAAAAAAAAAAAACAGTTTAAAAATGTCGTCTGTGGTTCCCTGGTATAAGTTTTATATATAAAAGTTCTTAAACGGCGCTATTAACCTACCTTGACATGAATATGTTCAAGGGATGAGTTTTCCACGTGAAAAACATTAATCCATTGGTGTTGTCGCCATGTCAGCACTGCGCGCCGTCTCTGTTGCTCGCGGGCGGGGTTGGTTGGACGCCCTCCTCGCGGCGATCGCCGCCGGAGATGTCCGAACACCGCCACTTTTCGCAACCGAATTGACCCGAGTTTGCACGGAAAATAGAACGCGGGGCGCACTTGTGTTTATTTTCCAAATTTGAAAATTCACTGCTCTGTCACCAAAGTTTTTCATGAGAGAATGTCTAAATAAAATACACAAGTCTATTTATAATATATTTGTCCACTTTGTAATAAAATAAAATAAAGTTTTAAATAAAACACAAAAGTTTCAGGACGTGACAAAAAAAATCCGCGCGCGTTGATAATACTCGGAAGTATTTTTAATAAAAATGGCCTGCCGCCTCGGCGGGAGGAGTGGCAATGGGCAATGAGGTCGGTACCCTCTCTCTGGCACCCGCGCGCGCCCCTCCCTGCCTCTTCTCCTACGGCATAGGGTTAGAAAGTTACAAAAGTGAATTGTGGAAAACATGAGCGACAATGAAGTCCTGGCCATTGAAACGCGGCATTTTTGGGGCCAGGAACATTCTGTTGTACCTCCCCGACGACTATTTTTGTAACTATACTCATTATGAAGACACGTTAAACTTCACAAATTTTCCTTAACTCCACATAATTGAATATTTCGTTGTAAACCTCCTGCGGTATCAGTTTAATTGTACACATTTTAGGTATTACATTACTCAGTCGTTAAAATTATAGCTAGAAATGACACATCTTTACCTACAGGAATTACAACACAACAAATGATGTTCCATTTAAATACAATTATCTAGCAATTAATTTGTATCAAACTTACCTAGCTAACGAAAAAACTGCAATTAGAAGTAAATTGACGTCATTAAAATGTCCTTACGTAAGTTTAAAAGACCGGTTTTTTTGTACGGCACTGCATGTTTTATCATTGCAGTTAAATTTTTAAAATTAGTGTGACATTCAAAATAACCGTTATCAAAATATTCAATTGGACGAATTCAAGTAGAAGGACATTCAATATTACGGTTTACAAAAAACCATGGATAATTAACAGCATACAAGCATTATAAACGTCTATAAATTTCTTTAACTTTATGAACTATAGTAGGAGAAAATTGAGTATATTCTCATAGGTTAATATTTATGTTATTATAGTCTAAAACTTAGCACTTTTTTTTAATTTATTAATTTTATAGCATCTTTTCTGTATTATGAAACATAAAAAGAGCATTTATCTATTTTAAAATATTTATCTTATTACAACGGTTCCGAAAATTTGAGAGAAGAAACTAGTGGACTAAAATTATTATGAAATGTGAGTGTTTTATATCCGGTTTTAGAATTTATTTCAATTTTAGTGAAATATTCCAGTTTCAAATAATTCCCAAGAATTATTAGAAGAAAAATAGGCAAACTACTATAATTAATCGGCGCCCAAATAGTCGAAATTCGATCATAATTAATTTAAATTATAAGTTTGTATTTATTAAGGTTTTATTGTCAAAAACTAAGTATATTTCTATGCGTGTGTGTGTCAAATACATGATGTATAATGTCTTTCTTATTAATTTAATGTATTTTACTTGCATATAAAAAAAATATTCTGCACTCCGTCTCAACATAAATTTTGTACGAAATGTGTTGTATTGTGCGTAATTTTGTACTCGTTCCGCGCAATTTTCGTAAAAAGGAATACAAAGTTTTTGTTTGACGTATTAATATATAAATATAATTTAGACCTAGGCTGACTTGTTATCAATTCTTGTTATAAAACCTCATTTTGTAAATCTAACGTCTACTATCGAACAATGAACCCGGCAAAAATCAGTTCAGTAGTTTGTTTTGGCCGTGGAATAACACGTAAGAACCGTGCGTTTTGTGTTTGCACTACAACTCTCGTAATTCATACCGCACGTCTACCTAAATTTATAATACAGTGTTGCCATTATTATATTCCAATACGTCTGTAGATTATAATTTACTGTTTTAACCACAGGTCTTCAAATATGTAAATTAGCTGTGAATGCAATTTCAGATCTATAAATAGACAACGAAATCCATCATTGCATGTCTATTGGTCACCTTTGGTTATATCGTATATTCTATTTTGGGGTAAACTATTTATAGCCTCTAGATAATAAAGGAAGGACTCACTGAACAGCCTTAAGTAGTCAGCAAAGGATGCAAATAATGGGTATGTGAAAACTTGGGTGGGTAAAAACATGTTTCTTATAAGTGTCAACGTAAATCTAGAAAATAACTGTTAAATTAAATATAACAGTATCCACATACAATACAATATGTATATATATATATACTGTTACTGTTAATGATAATCTGATAATTTGATTTTCTGTTACAACAAGCACAGATAATCTATTTCTATTAATTATAATTTTAACTATTAAGCCATAGTAAACAAAGCAGTTATTAACTTCGATTTTCATTATAGTATGTAGGAAACTCTAGTGTTATCTTAATAGAAACGGCAATAATACAATGTTTGTATACATTGTCCATGATTTTTCCTACATCGCTGCAATTTAAATATGTATATATATATAATACTTAATCTATTACGTAACTATTAAATGGCAAAGGGCATAGCTGAAGAAAAGTGGCAACCGTGTTCTACATTCATGAACAGAACTACATCTGACACGTAGTCATGTCACGTTGGCCATACCCCTCATCAACTGTTATTCCTGAGGCCAAAGGTATTATGACATCATATCCTGTAAAAAAAATCTTAGAAATAATAATGGAATGACGCATCCGCCTGCGTTAGCGATTTACGTTGACGGGGCAAAAGCATGAGGTCAGATCAATTAGTCCATCGTGGTAAATTCACCATGAATTTATCAGGGGTGACCACGTGGAGGTCAACCCGACATGGAACAATTCTAGTAATGAGGTTATTAGTCTACGTTACTAACAACCCCCTTCGCCCCTATCCTGTAATATATCTCTTACCCTTCAAACCAAACACACCTTACAGACAGAACAAGTTGCTAAGTGACAGAAATTGGTAAGAGGACAAGAGGCAGACACGTAGATGAGCTGACTTCTCTATGCAGTATCATTCTGAGACCTAGGAACTGATCTTGGCTAATATTCCTCCTTCGATAAAGTTACAGGTGCTTGAATACCATACCAGGACCATAGTAAATTGTATAATGTAAAATATTTTTTATATATAATATTGTATTTACTTAACCCAATACGATAAATAACTGGGCCTGGTGATTGGAATCGTTATCATAGGCACTCCCCTGGAAACATGTGTCTCATATTGCAACGATCGGCACCAGAGCCGGCTCTTATCAATCACCACCTTATCACGCATTAAATGAATTTATCTTCTATTTTTATCCTGTCATTTTGACATCTTGTTCATAATTATACGTATATAAAAGGGCTATATGCGCTATAACTATTTCAAAGTGATGAAGACAGTAGACAATGACATCCTAATCACTGATAAGGCATCATTGTTTACACTCATTAATGTATATTTTTCATTAATTTTTAGTACTTAAATTAGTCTATACTAGCTGTTCCCTTGACTTCGTCCGCGTGTAATTTTTTATTTTCATTTTAAATAAAAGTAGCCTAAGTTACTCCTTATTACATCAGCTGCCAAAAAAAGTCCCGTAAAAATCGGTCTAGCCATTTCACAGATTAGGCGGAACAAACAGACAGACAAAAATGATAAAAAAATGTCATTTTGGTATATGGTCCGTATGTATATTCATATGCATGTAGTAAAAAACGGATATTTCAATATTACAAACAGACACTTCAATTTTATTTATATGTATAGATTATATTATGAATTTACTTAAGTGATCTGAAAATTCTAATTTATTATTTGAGTATGAATACTAATAATTTGATATGAAAATAGGAATAGATTTTCAAACTGAACATTAAAATCCAGCATACCGGGAAATGTAAGTGATACTACTGCAGCATTATCAAAGTTTGAAAAAATCCTCAATATCCTCAATGCAATGGTTGTCAATGTTTTTCTTTCATTCTTTCTTTTAGTATTAAAAAATAAACACATATTAACGAGATGCAAACGGGTTAGAGAATATTAAACTATAGTGAGTACAAAATATCGCATTACCAAGATTCACATTTTCCATAGCCTCAAAGTCCAATAAGTAGAGTAATCGAAAAATCAAAATCAAGTAAACACTGGACGTGCAATTGATTTGTTAACAAGTACGAATGTGATATGGAAAATCTCATATTGAAATACTACACTGAATTAAATGCACGAATAAATATATAATTCAGCAGATTATGAGAAGTCCATATATTCCGCGGAGTGGAAATTAAATATACAAATAAACTATCAGTATTAATACATAATAATGAATTTTACAACAATTGATCAGATTGAGATCCCGTGATGCGAAGTAGGTAGATCTATATTATGTTTTGTACTATACAGGCAAAAAAGCAACTATCATATCAGAGGAATATGTTACCTCAGATGGAGTAGTCAAAGCGGTATTGTTAATTATATAGTAGATATGAGACGTTTCCATCAACGGCGAGTGAGTTAGAAGTATAAATTGATACATGAATGTTGTGATGTCGGTTAGTTTCTCATTATCTTTCGGAATAAATTGTTATACAACATTTAATAATGAATAACTATCATACTGCTTCATTACGATAACTGTTCTATAATAATTGATTCTACAACAAGTGACTTCGGTCGCCTTGTAGGTCGTATTTTAAATGCAGGATCTGGATCTAAGATATAATTAGACATAAATCTATAATTTAATCCTCATAATGCAGAGATAAGATAACATAAATACATAATTATAATATAATAATGTAGGGAGTTATGTACTGGAGTCCCATAACATGCTATTTTTGTACACACATTTTTTATCTATTGAAAGCTAAATAAAATGCAATTATTATTATCTATTATTATGTACAATTTATAAGTGTTTGTAAAATCAACAAAAAAGATTCGCCCGATTATTATTATTTAGCATAACTAACAAAGCCGATTTGTCCCAATTTTAATTTAGAATTCAACAATTTATATAAGATATGTTTTCGAAAAAGCTTACATAATTCATCTACGTTACTAAAAAAAGTTGTGAAACTTTGCTCTTTTCATACGATTAGATATATCAAACACTTCAAGACCTCTCCTTAATACTATGTACTAGCGATATGCTGCAAACTAAAATATACCCCATGTAACTCACTGATAATATCACTATCTATACGTGAATGAATATTTAAAATCGGTCAAGTATTTTTTGAGTTAATCCAAACGTTTAAAAATTTTAATCTTTATTACATTAGTAAAAATAGATGTG